ATTTTCTCCATTATTTAATAAGATAAAAAATTAAAACAAAAAAAGTTAAAGTAAAAATTTATTATTTTGTAGATAAGTACTTTTATTTATTTTAGTAAGAACAAAAATACTATAAAAAATACAGTAATTTATAGATAAAAACCCATGTCTTTGTGTTTGTCTACGTAAATTTTTTTTATTTATCTGATTTATAAATATGCTGACATCTTATTTGCAAATAGTTTTCTATTATCAGTCTTAAGAGGCTTGTGAGGTTTCCACTGGTGTTCATTTTGTGTCCGCTATATAATATAATGTCTCTATAAGTAGGTAAGTTATCATTTACGGATTAAATACATTATTTATTTATTTATTTATATATGCTTTAATGATCAACATAAAAATATAAAAGATATGTTACAAATGCTAAAAAGCGATATCTTCCAGACAACCTATTGGCTAAAAGTATAATATTTTGGACGACGGTTGGTGGTGCAAATGATAAACTTACATACTAAGATCTATATAAAACTAAAGGAATCATATTTTGTATAATAATCATATACTAATATAAACCAAATAATAAGATACAATAGACATACATAAAACTAAACATATACTATACAATAACTTACAAGAATATATAAAGGGAGAAAAATGTAACAGAAATAGTAATTTTTAACGTCAGTTTTGAACCTTCTTAACGTTTTTGAGCGCCGGATTAGTGGAGGAAGCGCGTTCCATAGGCAAAATGGCTTTGACCAGAAAAGATTTTTTTATTTTAAAAAAGATTGAAATAGTTGGTCCGGAAAGCAGAAGAAGAGAAAAAAATTATGTAATTTTTAAAATAATAATATTCTAATCGAAAGATGATGTAATGATACTTGTATTGTCTCCCATATTTTCCCCAAATCTCGCTAGTAATAAACTGACAACACCGGATAATCAGATTAACCTATGAAATAACAAAAAACGTATTTTCTTTCATTAATAGTGTTTAAATCACAAAACTTTCTGAAAAAAAGTGATATTGGTGTTGTTATACGGTTTTCCCCATATAACTGCGACAAACTTAACAGCACAACTTATCGACACAAATAATTAATAATAATAATATAGTGTGCGGTAGAGCACACTAAGAGACAAAAGAAATAATAAAAAAAAACAAAAATTTATCAAATATTGGTCATCAAAAGGCAACCTTATTGCTACATAACAATTTCTTCCAGGGTACCTCAGACATTTACCAAAAGGAATTTATAATGGGTAGGATGTACGAGAAATTAGATAAAAGGAAAATTAAATTAACAAGAAAAAACATACCTCTTGTGAGTGATCATCGAGTTAAGAGTGAAATAAAGAATAATTTATCTGCGTTACAAGTGAAAGACCATAGCGAAAAAGAGTTAGATACTGGTACATACTTAAGAGCCGTGATAGCTCAGTGTCCTGGCGCTCGCCTTTAATTCAATATACTCGAGCAACCTGAGTTCGATCCCCGCCATGAAGTTTTTAACTTTAAGTGCTGACTTATCACGTGCTCCGCGGTGAAGGAAAACATCGTGAGGAAACCTGCATATTTTCGAAATAATAACAAAAATATATTTTCGAAAACATGTGAAGTCCGCCAATCCGCAGTGGGGCCGCGTGGTGGACTATGCCCTGATACCTTCTGTATAGAAGAGGCCTTTGCCCAGCAGTGGGACATGTATAGGCTGTTACTTTACTTTTTTTGTTTACTGGTACATAAAAGAAGCTTTACTACTAGAGGCTAGGAAAAAACTTACATAATTCACGCAGTGCTTTTTAAGTCGAACAATAAAAATCAATTGTATTCAACTCGTATCAATGGGACCAATGATATTCTTCTCAGCCATTGTTCGTCACTCGAACCTAGCCGAGCTTTAATTAAGCTAGATTTTGTTCGACGAGAGGCAACGGATAGGCATCTATCATAAATAGGCAGGCTTGCGGTACCATTTTGGAGTTCCAGGTTGGAAATATCCGCTTTTTCTTTCTTGTTGCCCTCGAACGTTCTAATTTCAGAAAAATATCCGAAATGATACGCTTATCGTCGTTTGGTTTATTTATTTGAATAGGTAATTAAATACCAGGTTAACGATGCGATTAAAAGCAATTTTGACTGAAATCAAATCATTTATTTATCGAAATAAGAAATATACATTTCATTTATCGATAGTCATTTTTTTTAATCTATCATCATTTCGTAATGAAGTTCCTTTAACGGAGAAGAAACAGGCGAAAGAACATCCGTAGATATCCTCGTTTTTTGTCATTTTTTTGCTCAAACAAAAATACTTTGTTATACAGTACATTTTTTTTATATAGAAACAGCTTAGGAGCGATCATCTCATTCCCAGGGGTTATTATCGTTAATGTACTCTTATATAGTAATAACTCTTTTTATAAAGTTTTTCTTTAATAAATTTCTTAAACCTGTTAATAGATAACTAGGCTTTGCACATTAACTGGGATTTTGTTATAGAAGCGTGTGTCACAAGAAAAACCCTGTAAAAATGTCTAGTAACTGGGGTTACAAGCTTGTGTTTGTTCCTAGTGTGTACATTATGTATATCAGTATTTTTATTAGAATTATTAATGTTCATAAATATATTGAGAGGCCAAGCTTAAAATATTTATTTCTTTAAATTTCTCTCTCAGAGATACATTCAAATTTAGATTGTAAATTGCTCCTATGGCCCTCTTTTGCAAAATGAATATTGTTATAACATCGGCTCGTATTAACTGATGTTTGTGCTTTCAGTCCCGAGACTATTAAAGCTTCATCTGACGCATCCTCGGCTCCATGCCCCCATAGCAAAATACCGTATGACATTATGCTATGGAAATAACTAAAATAAACGATTCTAGCTGTATCAAGATATAGAGAAAAAGGAATGGGCCGAGAATCGCGCCTTGCGGAACCCCCCTTGATATCATCGACCAGAAGAACTGGCACCATTAATAACAATTTTCTGAATTCTTTTACATAAATATGACTTAAGACTGCAATCTGAAATTATTTATTTTGAAGATTAAGTTCAAGATAGAACAATTCCATTGCGTTTTCAATTATTATATACTATAAAGGCGGTAGGGCAATCTAACACTCTGTTATCACCACCCGGAGACATTAAGCCCACGGCTAGAGTACGACAGCCATGCCCCTTTCAAACCCGTAGACTACAGAGTACATTTGTATCAAGATAACCCCATTTCTAAAATTTGTTGCTTGTAAGGTTGACACCTGCTGTCCACTATTACGACAGTAGTGATGTCCTTATCTCTTGTTCTTTTTGTATTATACATGAGAGGGATGATAGCTCAGTCTCCAGGCTCAGTGTCGCTTTTAATTCAATAATATACTCGAGCAACCCGAGGTCAAATCCCGGTGCCGGCACCAACAAAAGTGTAATTTTTAGTGGTAGATTATCATGTGCCAGTTGTTTCATTGGTTTGGAGGTAATATGTACTACCTAAAGAAATAAAAGGTTGTTCTATGTTTTAATATTTTTTACAAATAATTAATTTATCCTTCGATTTCTAAATTTATAGATATTAACCTCTCAGATTGTCAACAGGGTTTTAGAGAAGGTCATTCAACCCAGACTAATCTAGTTCCTTTTATTTCTGAATTATCCCTAGAAATGGACAAAGGTCATCAAGTCGATGCTATTTATACCGACTTCAGCAGTGCCTTTGATAAAGTTCTTCACACCATTCTTATTAAAAAACTGGAAGCTTTTGGTTTGGGGGGTAATGTGTGTTAAATTGGTAAAAATCCTACCATTGACAATGAAAGGATTGCGGATCAAATTCTGAATACTAGTGTCCTCGCAGTCAGGAAGAAAGCGATTGAATTCACTTTTTATGTTTTTCCAATGAAGTAAAGTAGTATACTCCGAGTCTGAATATTGAGTGTATATATTTCTGTATTTTTCCTTTAATCTCAGCAGCCTATCTATCAATAATTAGATTGAAAGTATCAAACGCAGAAGTTTTTTCTTTAGACTTTTTGGATCCGTAGTTCGATATTAGCGGTAAACGCCATGATTAACTTCATAAGAAAATATATTTCCCATGCCTTGCAGATTGAAATTTCATGCAGCTGCAGGATCAATTTATTTAGTAGCGCGAAAAAATCAACCAAATAAGCAAAGTGTTTTTGAAATCCTGACTCATAGAAATGATCAAGCAGCCCAACTTTGTTTGTTAGTTATGTTTCCTTTGGAAAGAAAATTAAGTTGGAAAAACAGAGTTGCTCTCATGCATCGTACACACGACACGAAGCGACTAGCGCCGCATGTGTGTCGCGTTGCGTCGACAGATTGTCACTTATTTATTAGGATGCCTCCGCGGACAACTCTGCTTGCCCTGAGGCACCACCGGTTAAGAATCGCTGCTCTACACTGAATTAAGAGGCCTTACCCAGCAGTGGGACATATGTATATGCTGTTACTCTACTGGGAGAAACTATCCTTCAGATTTCGGTAGGTGGCGCTGTGTCCCATAAGTGCTAACTTAAATCAATAAAGCGATAGAAAGAGTGAGATAATTTACATTTACTTTTAATGATAATATATATGATTTTTGGTCAAACCAAATATAAACTTTGCGTTCAGCAAATAATGGAATTGATGAGATCACTAAGAACGGGAAATTGAGAAATATTTGATTGTTGATATTTAGTAATTTTCAATATTTAATGAATTGAGATATAGTAGAATTCAAATTATTTTTGAGCAAATAAACTTTCACCACGTTCTGAACAATTTAAATATATTCTACCATAATCTCGCTAAATGAAACGAGGCGAGCAAACAATATTCCAACAAACAGTTGATGAAATTGAATAATAACGTAAAAATTAAAGTGCAACCCTATTAGACAGACTGTCAACATTTTATTAAACATAAACGGCTGTGTGATACGGAAATGATGTACACACGCCTCATAAATAATTTCGCGCTTAAAACTTATCATAAATGTTTCATAGGTTAATCTTCGCCAGCCGGCACGGCGTCTTCTAATCTCTTGATATATTTCACTCGGAGCTCAGTCACGGCATCGCCTTTCAATTGATCCTGAAATCGGTAATTATACAGATTTTATTCTCATGTCATTAAGACTGTGTATTCTTTAGTTATGAATTTAGTAATAAAGATAAAAATCGAGAGATTTTAAACGATAGAGAAAAATCACTAATAAATTTATCAACAAGCAGAATTCGGCGACATAACATTTTACCATATATAAATTGCTAACAATAAGCGTGTTCGACGATCATTACTGTTCGGGTTGCTAGTACTATACACATATACGTTAGGATTGTCAATTGAAATAATTGTAATAGGCTTAAATTTAACTTGTATGCCATTGAAATATTTAAGTATTTCCCTAGTTTAAAAAAAAAGGATTTCAAAATTTTTAAGGCGCTGTATGCAGTGAATTTTTAACTATTTGGGTAATATGTAAATTTGGTGAAGTATGAGGAAGCGGAGTGTGTGTGTGTGTGTGTGTGTGTGTGTGTGTGTGTGTGTAGTGATGGGCCGTAGGATACTATCGATAGTATCATGGAAGGCTTTCGAAAATGTACACAGATGATCCCTAAAATATCTTTTATAGACCATGATTGTATTTTACTTTTATATTATAATAGGAATAATAATAAACAAACAAATAGAAAATATGAGAAAGCAATCAACAATTTTAGAAAATCTTCTTCATTTTTATTATTATTTTCTTAATTAAATGGAAAAGGAATTGATTAAAAATAAATCTTAAAGTCAAATAAATTAAATAAAAATAATTCAAATAAAAAAAATAATTAATAAAGGCAAATTACTTCTAATTATTGCTTTTTGTTTTTATGGTTTATATTGTGATTTTAAAGAAATGGCTCATAAAATTTTTGCCATGGCAATCTACAACAACAGATTGCAGACGTGTTGTCAACCATTAAAAAGTGGGCTCCGGTGACACTCACCAGAGGTTCCGTAGGTCATCCAGGAGATGTAAAAAATGTGTATAAAGATGGCTTCGAGGGTATAGGACATAACATTGTATGACGTTCATTTGGCAGAAGATAAGAGTTTATAAATTTTTCAATCCGACACAAAGAGTTTTTTTATTTAAATGGAAAAGGAATTGATTAAAAATACATCTTAAAGTCAAATAAATTAAATACAAATAAGTCAAATAAAAAAAATAATTAATAAAGGCAAATTACTTCTAACTATTACTTTTTGTTTTTAAGGTTTATATTGTGATTTTAAAGAAATGGGTCATAAAAATTTTATCGCAGAAATTAGGAATACATTTTTTTATTATTTTTTTTTAATTATTAGGAATGTTAGTTTATCCTTGAAATGTTCAAGACTTACTATGTTATATTACTTTTTCAACTAAAATGAAATTTAAAAAACTATCGATAAAATCCTTATTTGTATCGATAAACGACAGCAATTATAACTAGAATCGAAATTTTGTCACTTTGCACAGGCCTCGCGTAGCCTGTTGGTCCGAGCGTCATACACAACGGTAAACTATTGCTGTAGTCCCATGTTCAAACCACTCATACTACTCATAGTGGAGTTGTATTTTTTGTATTATTTTCACTTTTAATTAGTTAGACAACTAATTATTTTGTTTTTATTTTATAATCAATTTGGGAAATAACCAAATTATAAAAAAATATATAAAATAATTATTTTCGGTGTATAAGGAAAATTTTTGTTTTAGGGTGAACAATTAAATAAATTAATAAAAAATAGATGACTTATTAAATTTTTTTTAATACTAAAACTTGGTTTATTTACTGATAGATTGTTCTCCAACTATTTCAATTTTGAACAAATACAATAATATTTCGTTGTTATTATTTATGAAAATAATAAAATCAACAATAATTAAATGGTTATTAAGAAATACTTCAAAATAAGAAAATCAACAATAAGTACTACAAAAAATTTAGGGATTCGAACCCAATCCATAAAGAATGATGGTCCTATACACTGTATGTATAGGACTGATAGACCAATCAATTACGAGATAAGACATTGAAATTATGCTTTAAATAAATTAATTTACAACTGTTAATACATACAAATAATTTTTAAATACGAAATATGTGAATATATATTTTCTAAGGTCTATTAAAATTAAAACTCTCAATAATAAATAAATACGAAACATATTTCGTAATGGTGAGCGGGCGATGAGCGGCATAGGTCCAACTAGCAGGGCGCCTCAGCGCTCTCTGTTCAACGTATGGACTTGAAAGAGAACGGAAACAACGCCGCGGTGGCGCGGCGTTTTGGCCATCGCGTGCGAATTAATTTTAATGAATTAAATTAATATTTACAAACACCTTACTTCAATCAACAAATTAAGACAACAGTCCTTTTTATTAATATATTCTACACCACTGATATTATTTTCATTAAGATCTATTATATAAATTTTTTTATTTGAATTTCGTAGGTTCGTGATTTTTTCCTATCGAGAAAATATATCGAGAATATGTTTTGAAAACAATGGTCCATTAGAATGTAAGATCAAGATTAACATATATATTTTTTGCTTCTGTAAAATGTATAAATTTTTTGTAGTACTAGTTGTAACTGTTCTAGTTGTTAAACTAGAACAGTTTCAAATTATGCGCCTAGATGGCACTGTTAATTTTTGAGACAGTTGGGCATTTTTGCTGTTGTTTAAAGAAACCACTAGATGGGTTGAATATACTGCACAAAAATTATTATAATCTTAAATAGTGGACCCATGCAAAACTTTGGCACAGTAAAGTGTTTATAACTGAATAACTGAAAATAATAAGTAAATAAGTATTTATCAACATAACATATATTTATGTTATGTTGATAAACACATATAAGGTTGCGGTTTTGCATTTTTCATGGAAATACAAGTGGTAAGATATGGATGTAAGCATTTCTCTATTTGTTTGTTTCGATCATAAGGCAACATAAGAATTACCTTTCATTTTAATAGCCTGCAATCAAATCTCATTGGCAAGTATGATGTTGCTAGTTACAATTTTAAGAGCTGCTTTACACATAACTAGTTAAAATTATAAAAATGTGTTAAAATATTCGAAGTTATGACGTTTACCATCTATTGTAGGGTTCCATTTATTGTATTGGTGAAAATTATTACAAAACAATAGTTTACCTGGACAAACCAGCATTGTACTTCCAGCTGAACCATTTGCAAAGCGCCACGAATAGCGCCAGGTATAAGGGCACAATATTTAAGACCATTATTTGGTAACTCTACCCACTCACTCAGTGGACACTGATCCCATACAAGAGAAAACTCATCCCCTGAACTACTCCAACTAGTTACTGTAGGTTGCATGTTCAGATATAACCTGAAATCATTGAAAAAATATGAGAACTAGCTGGTAACAAAACAGCGTTATAAATAGTTATTGCTAAAATCTTATCCCAAGCAAGTTTCAATTGGCGGGATGTCTTGTAGAACTTTCTGGACATGGCAAACTACAAAAAATATAGTTTGCCATTGTTCAAAAAGCAAAAGTATTTTAATTTCATTGGCATCCACATATTTTATAAACATATGATTGGGCTTAGGTAAGTTTCACCTCGCCTAAATCATTATGTTATACACACACAAAATCACAGGTTGAAAGTGTTCCTTTTTCCAAATAAAGTAATAGCACACATTCACAGGTTCGGTTTAAATAGTATAAAAAGGATACCATAGTTAAAGCAATAAGAAAAAAGAGAACGGCAAACATTGCTGCCTCTTTTTTGTTTGTCACTAAATCATCCCAGTTGGGTCCCAAGTCCCACATTAACAACATATCTGTTGTATAAAATATCATTGAATGAAACAATGAAAGTGAATATTGAATGCAGTGATTTTTTGACAATTTAACAAAACTAACTTAGTTTAATTAGTCTATTTTGATAGAGACCTATTAGGTTAAGCTGATTAGGTTAAGCTGATTAGAAAGGTCTCTAAATCTCATAAATGATTACAAATGACTCTTCACACTTTATGTAATATTGTTAATATTAAATGTTTTAATATTCATGAATTTATGTTTTCATGTTTATGTATGTGTACTTTGTTGAAATTAATTTTATTATTGCATTAAATTGAGATTTTAAAACATTTATGACATATACGCAATGTTTCAATTACCTGAAAGCTTGTTGGATTTTATCAGCAGTCTCTCTCATCTCCAAACAACGGTTGGAAGTAGTTCGGGCGAGAAAATCTTCAATCAAACGTACGCCCATATTGTATCCAATGCGTTCTAAATGTTTATTTACATCATCAGTATTTTCAGTTTCCTTTAGCATTTGTGATACTAAGGCCCCATAAGTAAGTGTCAATAGTTCTGCATTCTGAAATTTTTTAATTAAAACGGAACATCACAAAAACCATGAATAAAAATCTTTTTCTCATAAAAAAACTTACGACTTTCTTTGCATCAAGCCTAGATGTTTGTCTAGACATGATTGGTTGCTCGTTAATTACGTATCATATAAGAGCGAAAAATAATAAAACAATGCGTTATCGTGTTTAATAAATAATATTCAATTTCAATCTTTCGGTCAAATCGCAAGTCAAAACTTAATGTCAATCAATTGTCAATTTACTATTTAGGGAACAGGCAATGTTACCAACTGGTGAAAAAAATACTCCTAAAGAAATTGAAAAACCTCCTCTAGTGCACTGTTTTCATAAAAAAAACTTCCTAAATGAAATAGTCACCATTTTTTTTTAATTATCTTACAAGGTAGAATAATTATCGAAAAAATTAATTATCTGGGTAATCAAAACTGTTTTATTTTAATATTAATATACTTGAGCTTTAACATTTTTCATTGACTTGAAAAATATTTAAGTATACATTAGTATACAAGTATTAAATAGATTTTATTGTAACGTTATAATAATTTTCATTATTTTTAAGAATCAGACAATAAACAATGGGAACAAGCACCATTCAATCATAAGAGAATTAAACATTCATTGTCTTTTTCCCACTTATACAGCGTGTCGTTACCATCGCGACAATAAATGAACACACATATAGGGGATAACTTTTTAAAGTTGTATTAAACATTTAAATTCTTTAAACATCAATATTTACAGAGTTATTAAATTTTCCTAAACAAAGATTTTAGAACATCCTTACCTATAAAAGCGTAACGAAAAGTTCATTTGTAAAGGTCACAAAGCATATGAATGGGTTGAATGAATTTAAAAGAGACAAAACATACTGTTAGAAGGAGAAGCTTGTAATACGACGCTGTGTTTGTATAGAATGTTACAAATTTTGTTTCTTTTTTACTTAATTAGTTTGTTTGAAAAACATTTTTTTTTAATTATGGATTTTTTTTTAACGTTAATATTTTTTTATGATTATTGCCAAGTAGCGTTAGACGTGTGTTCATTTATTGTCGCGATGGTAACGACACGCTGTATATATCGCATATTTTTGAACATATCCGATGGCAAGAGTATAGGGCGGAACAATTAAAAATACTACATAAGTTAAATTTTTTGTGTACAACCTGATTATATTTGTGTCATTCTATTATTCAGTACATTAGCTACGATCTACGATGTATTTCAGTGTTGAGTTTAATTCCGTTGCATCGATGTTAACTCTTAGGTGTTCTAACAGATGGGGTTAGTAGTACAATAACATTCTATCCATACCATTTCATTAATGTTTAGGTTTTATATGGTATATGGTTATGAAATTATTATTTTTTTGACGGATATCGATATAAATCTAGTCATGAATTTTAATTACTACGTTAAAGCCTAAATCTATAGGCATGAAAGTTTTACAGTAAATTGTACCACAAAAATGTTCAGGTTGTGGGATAATGTTAGGTCTCGCTTCGCTCGCCCTCAAAAGCATTGCATTTCATATTTATAAATATAGTGACGAGCAATAACTAAAAGAAATTTTAAGCAAAAAAAATATCAATTTATACCATTTTATTTATTTGTATTGTACAATAAATAAAATGGTATAAATTGTTATTATTATTGACATAGTCCACACCGATTAGTGTTGTATGTTATTAGCCCAGCGTTCGTTCCCGAGCAGTCAGGATAATAACAACTCTTGCACGATGACACCATCCGCTCTGCTGTACCTTCATGACCCCGAACGAATCGGGAGTACGTTCACGACCCCACAGTCCCGCAGATGGATGGCGGTTTGAACATAAACTTTAATTGCGATCGATAATAGGAACCTTCAAATAGAAATCGTCGTTGTCAACCTTTTCATTCAGCTGTGGCAAAACGGGATCGCTCCCTATTGCCCTCTACCACGAATGCACTTCGTTGTACTAAGG